TTAATAACAAGTGTGATTCAGCAGAGCGGTAGTGGTAGAGAAATAATCCAACTTTAAAATAATCTCTAAAACTCTTTGGCACTCTGTCACCACATCCACAAATTTAATTTCTGGCACATCCTTCATAGTTTTAGGATTATTCATAAAATCATCACTCACTGCTATCTCCGCTGATTTAATGTGTTTGGCAGTTACATTTTTTAGATCATAAAATGTCCTGACAACTAACTTTCTATAACATTAGTGCTTTTGCGTGTGTCTGTCTCCACAGATGTTTTTCAACAGATTTCAGCTGCTTTTTGCTGTTTGCCTGATGATCCTGATGGCGTTCTATTTCATAGATTTTACTAAATATCGTGGAGAGCCACCCACTACACCAGAACGAAGGTATAACAAACTCTCTGTCTTGATGCATGCTCAATCATCCAGGTAACTAAACTGCAGGTTTCCCCAACCTGCAGTCAGCTGAGACTGAAGAAGTCACTTGGATGAGTGACAAAATGTTTCTCCCACAAAACGCTACGTCCAGATGAACACAATCAACTTTTGGAAACCAACTCTCTGTGTGTGGATATGAATTCTGCCTGCTTCTAATTTATTCTATGTAACATTTGATATTTTTTAGCAGTATTTCTAAAATAAATTGTTTAGAATGATCAAAGAAATACCATCCTTTTTCATATTCATATTAGTAGTTTCAACAATAATGAAAGCAATGACAGGCAGGCACAGGTAGTCAATATCAATACCATGAAACACATTTTTTATAACCTGCTTTGTCTTGCATGTCCATTCAAATATACCTGCAAACCATATCATGTGCCTCAAAAAGTCTTTGCATGGTTGATGATGGGGAATTATATAAGAGGTCAATCTGTCAAAGAGTTGCACTGTGTCTTTTATGATGTGAAAGAAAACATGATAGGATGCTGAGAAAGTTTTGTATTTAATGCGGACAGAGAAGCATGTGTATGAAGACAGTGGGACACCTGTGAGGTGTGCGATTGGAGTGACTGAAGCGTTCAATGTGGGGATAGGAATATATCAGGGATGAGCTCTGAGCTCCTTCCACTGTTTGCAATGGTGATGGATAGTCTGATAGATGAGGCCTGCCAGGAGTTTACATGGATTTGGATGATTGCAGATGACATTATGATTTGGAGTTAGAGAAGAGATCAAGTTGAACTTCCCTAGGTTGGGTCTTTAGAAACTGAACAGAAAAGTAATCAAACACTGAATGTATTAAAGAATGGAGTGGTAACCATACAGGACTTCTATATAACAGCCATTCTTCAGCATCTTTATCCTACAGCCATGTTTCCAGGTCATCTGTAACCAGACCTCTACCTGGTTCCTGCACCTGTCCTCAAGGCTCATATATCCTAAAAGATCACCTCCCTAAGGAGCAAAGTGAGGAGCTAACGCAGCGACGAGCAAGGGAGTTTCAGCAGAACAAAAACAGGTACCAGCTCCATGGATAGAATGCTGGAAAATTTTATTTTCCAAAACATCAGCATGTTATGAATAGAACAGCAGTATAAAACTTGTGGGTTTTGACCATTTAATCGTATACTCTGTGTGTGTGTGTGTGTGTGTGTGTGTGTGTCAAATATAAATGACAGAAATTGAACAATTTTATTTCATGTTATAAGTCAAGAAGGTAATCTGTCTTTTCCTCTGCTCGCACCTCGTCTCTTCAACAGGACAACTTCAGTACTGTCCAGACTGTTGTTTGCCTTGCCTAACTCTCCTCTGCAGTATCCTATCCAGGGTTACACAGTGCAGCCTTTGACCTCCACTGTCATACCAGGTATACTGTGCTTAATATACAGAGCACTTTGTTACTGTTTACTGTTATTAAATTGAATGAATTGATCGTGCACAAAATAATCCCTGTGTGCACGATCAAACATGGGAAGCTCGTGTTTATTGTGCTCCCCCACATATTTATTGCATTTGTGTGGCTGTACCCTTTCCAGCGAGTTCAATCCCACTACTCTCCTCTCCAAACCCTGCACACCTCTTCTTCGCCCTGGCAGCTACTGAAATAGCTAGGGAAGGTGTGGTTAGCATGGCTACAACGTCACACCATCAAATTAATCTCACTTTGATCTGTGGCTTAAGTGATTTCTATATAGAGGCTCATGGGGTTTTCCATGTTCTCCGAGAATGTTCACTGTACCCTGAGCCTGTGTAGGTTTTTTGGCTCCTTCCCACAGCCCAAAAAAATGCTTATTAGATTACCAGGTGGTTCTTAAGTGAACATGCATGCGAGGTAAAGTGTTTAAATTATAGAGTCTAAAGCACTGTGTGAATGTGTGAAATACTTTTTAGAAAAACATAAATCTGGATACCCCAAACCATTTGTCTCACCTAATCTACTTGCTTTGCAAAGTTTAGTCTTGTTGTAAACTCTAAATTTGAGTTAATTATGTGTCTTCTCATAAAAGAACTGATTTCATTTCCAGCTTTAGGGCTGCATGCAGAAAAAAGAAAGAGCTACAAGGTTGGTGTGACATCACAGATGAGTTGGGGATTTCTCACACTGATGCCACTATGGAAGCTTATTTCCACCACAAAAAAAAACAAAAAACCCCAACAAGACAAACAAAACAAAAAACAAACAAAAAATGATCATCTATGAGTAAGAATGATGGTCTTAAAGTCAAATTGGTCATCCTAAAATTTTGTGTTATTATCTCAAAATTTCAAGTTAGGCATTTTCATCGAGAAAAAGTCACAATTCTGAGATAACTCAAAATTGTATCATTTTTGCCAATCAGTTGCCAAAAAGTATCAATTCATTAATATTTTTTTCAGTGGTGGAAACAAGCTTTCATATCTAACTGGTGGTAAAGCATAGTAGATGTTGCCTGGTCTATTCAAGATGGCTGCTGAAAGTGTGAAGTTCATACTTCAAGGGGGATTTCTGATGTATTTAACTTTCAAATCCCTAAATGTCATTAAATCCAACGATTGTGATCCTACAGCTGATGTTAGCTTGATCCTTCTCTTTGTGAAACAAGGACAGAAAAAAATTACATTGATAACTTTGCAAAACTGATTATGGACAAGACACATGTTTTTTTTATATCATTATTATTTTACAGCAGCCATCTTGGTGTTAATCTTGTTAATCTAATATATTAATCTCAGTTTGCCAAGATTAATTTTATGGCATGGACTACATAAACTATTGCATACTAATACTCAAATAACTTGGTAACTTTGTAGCAAATACATTGGTATACATAATCAGCAAAATCAGAAACAGCTTTCTAAAAAAGCCTGCCCACATCAGATCTTAAAAACATAAACATGTCATGTGATTTTAGTTCAATCTCAGTGATCATAAAGGATATTTAGCAGTAGTGTCATTTAAATAACCTAGCATCAGTTTCCATGCTATTTTCCTCATTTTGCTACTTGACAGTTAGTTTGACACCTATATCAAATTACTAGATATTCCCATAGGCATTTGTAGTGTTTCTTATGTAGCGCCTTCTACTCTTCTAGAGCACGTTCTTTATAAAACATGCCTAATCTGCCCATTCACACAAGAACGCTATGCTTTAACATTCACACTCCGAGAGAGTTGGAGAGCACCTTGGGGTCAGTCTTTTGCCCAAGAATATTTGGCATGCAAACAGGAACAGCCATGGATCAACCCACCAACCTTTCAATTAGCAGATGGCCTTCTGTACCTCCATAGCCAAAGGCATTCCATTGTCATCAAATGTTTCATAACAAACATGATTTTCATTGAAATGCTTTCTGGTGAAACCTGATTGTGAAACCTGTGTACTGCACTATCTGCACACTGTACCAGTAAGGGTATAGTTAAGACATATTTCCATCTGCAATACCTAAGAAAATCAGAGTAACCTAAGCCTGTTTCATATACAGCTTAGTGTAGCTATTATTGTTTAGATGATTGTATAGGTATCAATATTCTGCTTCACATTATTGAGGTCTTTTTGTTGTAGGTGGTCTTAAGTGTGTCTAAAGGCATCCTCACAACTGAAATAGGACATCAAGATGTGACAGTTAAAGGTGAGAATTGACTGTCAGAACTAAAGTTTATTTTTAAACTGGTGAAAAAAATCAAATAGTTTAAATTCTAAGGTGTATGGGGCATTTGGTGATGTGTTCTTTTTAGCCCAACTCTCCTGTTTCATGGAAGGGTCAGTGAAAATGTTTCCTTTTCCTAGTGGTCGTCAAGCAAATATGGGTAAAGCTGATCTGGCTAAGCAAACTTTCATACTGCTTTAGAAACGTAAAAACTGAGTATCATGTATGATAGTCACACTGTGTTATACGATCATTACAACACAAAACGAAGTAGCTACATTGGCTCTTACACATTAACATATTAACCAAGTTATTGTAAGACTGTTGTGAAATTCTTGTTTTTTTTTATTAATTCACAGGTTCTGGTGAGAACAAACTGATAATTGAATCCAGTAACCTGGTAATCCTCAACAACCTGCTGGCCAAAGTGTCGTATACCAGCACTATCTACCATATAAACACCGGAGACCTTGGTATGTGTCTAAGAAATGATAAATGACCTACAATTTCAAAGTTTGGTATCTGTATGTTCTTTTGTTTATGAGCTTTCTCTTTGCTCTGAATGTAAACTTCTAACATCTCATTAAATGCAAGCAGATTCAGGTAACAGTGAAAAGTGTTTTCTTAATTTACTTTTGTTTTCTCCACTTTTTCTATAGCCACATTCCAGTTTGAAAACCATGAAGCGGTGTTCCCCATTGCCATCAAACAGCCTCATATACCAGTCCTGTATGACACAGGGACAGGTAGGAGTGCGCTTTTTACCAAGATTCAGTCATGAAATGCTTATTATTTGTAAGTACCAGATACAGCCTGCTCTAGGTGTGTGGGCAGGTAAAACTTATGACTGAAATCTTACAGAGAGAAGAGGAAAGATCAGTGTGTATCCTTTTCTTCTGACCCTTTTCTGTTCTGCTGTTTAATTTTTCTATTGACTGAAGAAAAGTGAAAATAATTTGCTTTCTTTCGCCTTTTAGACATTAGTTCTCAAGTCACCATCACCACAAAGACTTTCTTGCGCTACAGAGAACTGAAGGTGTTGTTGGACAGCATCCGAAAATTCTACAACAACATAAAAGTGATTATTGCAGATGACAGCTTAAAACCAGAGCCAATTCATAGAGAAAACATCTTATATTACATCATGCCTCCAGCACAGGTATGTGTGGTAGATCCAAGAATTGGAACCACAGTTGTGTTTTACTAAATATGCAATGTTGGTACAAACTGTCAGTTTGAATTTTCTACAAAACCAGATAAATCTCAGATATAATTCAGATTCCTGTATGTATGAATTTAAAATAATAATTCCACCTATGGTGGAACGGTTCACAGCCGAGTGTGAAGCGGTGGGAATGAGCACCTCCAAATCTGAGACCATGATCCTCAGCAGGAAAAGGGTGGAGTGCCAGTCCGCTGACGCTGTACTGGTCTGTTGTGGTGAAGGGTGAGCTGAGTGTAGAAGCGAAGCTTTCAATATACCAATTGATCTACATCCCTACCCTCACCTATGGTCGCGAGCAGTGGGTAGTGAGTAACAGAATGAGAAATGGGCTTCCTCCGAAGGGTGGCTAGCCTCTCCCTGAGAGATAGGGTAAGGAGTTCAGCCATCCGGGAGGGGCTCAGAGTAGAGTAGGGCTCCTTCACATGGAGGAGGTGGCTGGGGAGAGGGAGGCTTGGGCTGCTTCTTTCGTGACACAGTCCGGGATAAGCGGAAGAAGGTGGATGGTTGGATGAAATTTGTTTTTTGCTAATAAAACAAAAAACAGTGTTGCTTTACAATGACTTTTATTGTATTGATCACTTGAGAGCACCATTACACCACACTGTAAAAGATTAAAATGTTAAGATTAAGATGTGAAAGATGTTTCCTTCCTCAGGGCTGGTTTGCAGGCAGAAATCTGGCTGTTTCCCAGGTAACCACCAAGTACTTCCTGTGGGTGGATGATGATTTTGTGTTTACAGAGAAGACAAAGATAGAGAAGCTTGTGGAGGTGATGGAGGCGAACCCTGAACTGGATGTGGTGAGAATGAAATAGCTCACATAAAGCTTTTGCAGTTTATTTAAAATAGTTTGAATAGAACATTAAAAGGTAAATATAATACACCCATAAAATACACATGTTAGACTGATGTAATCCTTTTTTCCTTTATTATATCTGATCTAGTTGGGCCTTTTGGACCATGTAGCATGCCAACGTTTGGGGTCTTAACTTCACAGTAACTTGCATGGAGCAGATCCTTTATAATCAATGAAGACAAAGGTTATTCTAGATTTTTGGGTTTACTGTAACATCTATTATTAACAAAGATCAGATGAGCAGTTATGACCAGGCACAATAAAGTAAAGTTGGTGGAACCAGCTTCTGGACTGATGCATAGGTTACCTGAAAGACTAGTCTCATTTCTAGATTTGCTTTTCACAAACAAGCATGACAAGTAGTGTCTATCTGAACATTGACTGAACAATATTGGAGCTTGCAGTGAAACACTAGCTATTTTGTAACAAGATGTTGTGTTTCTTTATTCGTATTAGGTTGGTGGGGCTGTAGAAGAGAACCAGTTTTATTTTACTCTTATATATGAGGAAGGAAAGGAAAATGAAGGTGGTTGCCTATACAGAAAGTCTCAAGGAAAATTTCACTCACTTCCTGGCTACCCACAATGCTTTTTGGCTAATGGAGTGGTCAACTTCTTCCTGGCTCGTACAGATGCTGTACAGAAGGTGGGTTTTGACCCTAAGCTACAGCGAGTAGCACATTCAGGTAGGTCCAGATCTCAAAGAAGTTTATATTACAAATGACAGCAAGAGAATTTTGTGTTAAATATTAAATTCCAATTTCTAACTCTAGAGTTTTTTATGGATGGTCTGGGCTCTTTGCTGGTTGCATCATGTAGTCACGTATCCATTGGTCATCAACCCAAAACAGCCGACAGCCAAAGTTCTCTATACGACAAATATAGATTCCCGGGAGAAAATGATGAAGAATTCAAACTGAAGCTTCACTTTTACAAAAACAACCTTAAGTGCATTACATATGGATAGAAGATTCATTCAAAGAACATCAGCGTCACTTGTAGCGTCATATTGTTTTGTCATGGTCCCAGGGTTATCTGAGTTTAGGATTCTCAGTGATTATAGCCGAGTTTGGCTCTCTGTTTGGATTTTATTCATCAAGATTTTTTTTCTTTATTATTCTTATAGAGTTGAATATCTTGTGATGCTGGTGACACTGAATTCTGTTTTTACTTATTTTCTTTTGCTGTTTTGTCATCCTGTGTTTTCACTCATGTTTTCATTGTAAATCGAATACACTGAACTTTAAAACTTTATATATCTTCACAGAAGTACAAAACACGCCTAAAATCAACATGACTAATATATGTTGTGAGTCATTTATCTATGCCACCTATGTTTATGTTTAATAAAACCAAAGAAATAAATATACATACTGTACAAGAATGTCATAACAGTAATAGTTAAATTTGCCAAGCCAGATTCCACCTTTATTCTACTAATTTGTAATATCTCATGGTTGTTGGTTGTTTTCATTAGCATTATTTATTTTATTTTTTTAATTTATTCTCGTGTTTTTTTTTCTGTTATGTTCAGTGATCACTTCTTGTCATTTATCACCACAGTTTATTTTTCCCTCTTCCTTTCCTTCCCACTTTTGCCAAAGTGCTTGCTCATAGAGGTCATATCATTGTTGGGTTTTTCTCTGTATGTATTATTGTAGGCTCTACCTTACAATATAAAGCACCTTGAGGTGACTGTTATAGTAATTTTGTGCTGTATAAATAAAATTGAATTGAATTGAATTAAAAAGCAAAACACCCCAATTCATATAGCCATAACACACTGAAGAATATCATATTATACAAAAACAAACAAATGCACTACTCCATCCCACTGGTGTTGAAATCCTGCTTGGGGGCTGGCCAGCTGTTCCTTAAAATTTATACGTATGATAGTTTACACAGATGTAATCACATGCCATAATTTCCCTTTTAACCAAATTTTGAATCCTGGTGTAAATGGGCTAAAGAGTTCACTCTGTCTTTGACCGAAACCATCAGGTGAACCTGTAGATACTGTAACATTCTGATTCATACTACAATATGCTAAAACAGGTCATACCTATCCATCCAGTTCAGAATTGCTGCTGGGGGGGCTAAAGTCTATTTTTATTAATGTTTTTAATTGGTTTTTATTTTTGATACTGTCTGCGAAGAAACAAAGCTCTTATAGAAGCAATGTTTACTGAGAGGGGAGTGATTGGCAGTGAGCTTTAGATGCTGGTTTGTTGAATGGGTTCAATTGTTTTTTTGTTCAGTCTTTTACAGACAACCCACTAGTCTGAGATGCATGGGTCAAAGATATATCCAAACAGGTATCTAAATATCTTGACCTCACACAGACATCTGAGTGCCCTATAAAAAGCTTTTGGACCCATCTATTATTTGTTAAGGAGAAAGAAAAACCCTAACTCACATGTCATGTAAATGGTAAAATGGTAAATGGCCTGCATTTGTATAGTGCTTTTCTAGTCCTTAAGGACCCCAAAGTGCTTTACACTACATTCAGTCATCCACTCATTCACACACTGGCGATGGCAAGCTACATTGTAGCCACAGCTGCCCTGGGGCGCACTGACAGAGGCGAGGCTCTGTCAGTGCGCCACCAGGCCCTCTGACCACCACCAGTAGGCAAATATGGGGTTAGTAGCTTGCCCAAGGATATTTGGCATGGAGGCAGCCTG